GAACAAGGACCCCAGACTGATAGCTGGGAAACCAGCATGGGACTGATCCAGACCCTCTGTATGTGGGTGTCAGTGAGGAGACCTTGGAAATCTATGGGACCTCTCGTGGTGGATCAGTACTTATCCCTAGCATAGGAATGGACTTTGGGAGCCCATCCCACACTGAGGGATAATCCCTGAGCCTAGAAACAAGTGGGTTGGCCTAGGCCCTATCCCAAAGAATATGACAGACTTTGAAGACCCCTTATGGAAGGTCTCACCCTCCCTGGGGAGCAGAAAGGGTATGGGGATAGGTAGGGTGTTAGTTGGGGGGGGAGGAGGGGAGGGACCTGGAATTGACATGTAAAATAATTTTCTTTCTAAAAAAAAAAGAATAGAGAGAGAGAGAAGCACTTAATTATTAGGTCTTCATGTTCTCCCCTGTGGACCCCCTGCTAAGGGGAACGAGTCCCCATTTCCCCAGGAGCCTGAGTCCTGTAGAGAGGACCTGGGGCCCACTGACCTCCGATGGGTCTGTGGACAGAATTCAGAGTGTCATGAACTTGGAAGATACAACATTACATTAACATCTTCTCTAATATCTAGCGGAAACTCAGCATTTCTTTCAATCATGAATGTAGGTGACAGACCACAGAGGCTTCCATAGCGCCTGCAACTTTGTCACCGTGAACATCACAGCTCTTCCAGCGCCTCATTACAGCGGTACCACAGGCCGCGTGCCATCGTTTCTGTTGTTTGTGGCTTTCAGTTTACAGCCATTCTGTAACTCGACTATGGATATTGCTCTTTAATATGTTGACAGAACATATTCATTTACATACCACAAGTTTGTCTTTTAGCTTTTGATAACTACTTTTCAACGTAATTAGCTTCCCTAGAAATCCTATATTATTTCCCATTCTGCATTAGAAAATACCGTTCTGGATAGAGTCCATAGTCCAACAGATTGTGACAGGAGTTCCTGGCAGAAAAAGTCAAGAAGAGAGAAAATGGGACCTCTGGACACCTTGGGGTGCAATTTAGAAAATTCCCCTCTCAGCCAGGGGGCGCCCTGAACACTGATGCCCATGTTGGCAAGTCAATATCCTCTCTCATTTCCCTTGCAGAGCACTTTTCTTTAGGCAGTGTTTTCTGAATGGAGGCTCCCTTCGGCTGGGCAGCCTGTCTGCAGACAGACAAACATGCACACTGAAGATACTCTAGACCATCAGATCTGGAAGGAGACCTCAAGCTTGTCGTTCATAGGAAAAAGAAATGAAGGCTGAGAAGCCTGTGATATTGAACCCTGTGTTATATACCCTCCAAGAGAGAGGGGCCGGAAAGACATTTGATGTTTTGGCTCATGGTGGTGCTATCCAACAGGAACCAGCAGACCACGTGATCAAGATGGCAAGAACCGGACCGACTTCGGAGTAAGTTTTACAGATAGGTGAATATGCACCCGTGTGTCTTTCTCCTTTTAACTGGGTCTTGTGCATCCATTTCTATAAATAATCCCTGTGTCAGACAACCAAAAGACGGGGACAGGTTCCGTTTATAGACACGCCCCCGGGAGGAATCTCACTGAATCTAGAGTAGAAATGCAGGTCAAGAGGTGTGAAAGCCTAGACCAGCAGAGGGCGCTAGGGCATCAGCTCTGACTGGGTAGATGCCTTCAAGCCTACTGAGGTGCCAATTTCTGATGAAGAGGACAAGCTCCACCCACGAGACCTTCAGTCAAGTCGCAGAGGGCCTGCCCCCTCCCCTCTAACCTCTCTTCAACCTTCTGCTAGAGAGCAGGGATGTGGGAGAAGGGTCAGGGGGCGTGTAGCCGCTGCAAAATTCTACTCTAGGATTCAGGAAAAGAACGGTTTGCTTGACTGAATCCTCCCATGGCAGAACACAGGACAGACTTAGTCACGGTGTCAGTCTGGAGAGAGATGGCATTAAGAGTGCCGCGGAGATACCAGCTAACAGCCTTGTAAGTAAGTTCAAATAGACCTCCAGCCTGGCCTCCCCGTCAGTCCAATGACTGACTGGTTCATAGATTTCCCTCTGACATCAACACCTCCTCCAGGGACAAGGTACACGGGGCCACTTCCCAAACAATAACCAGGGTCAAGCGAAGATGAGAGAGAAAGAAGGGAGAGCAGTTGGTGGGCAGAAAAAATCAAGGGTCGGAGCTTTGAAAGGTGACAAAGGAGGGTGTTTTCTTCAGAGACCAAAGCAGAGCAGAAAGAAGACCGATGTCCTTACCCTGGAGTGGGCCCCCCGTTGTCCAGGTTGAAAACTTGTTTGGGGTTGAGCAGGTAGTGGAATTTCCGAAGGATTCTATGGGGGAAAAAAAAGGGAGTGATGAGAAGGAAAAAAAAAAAAAACGGCACAGCAGAAGTTACCGGGGGCAAGTAGCTTTGGTCCTGTCTGTGGTGCTTAAATCTAAGAGAGGAAATGCTACATGTGCGCCCTGATGTCCCAGTGTGCTGGTATACCCAAATCCTTACCTCTGGCCCAAAGCTATACAGCATCTGACTCCAGCTCCACCCCAGGAACCACTTACTGCAGTGGCTATGGCAGAGAAGCCCAGAGAACAGGACTGTTGTTATCAAGCCCTCCCCTTTGGAGACCTCTGGATATTCGGTGTGGTATGGGTAAGATGAGCCTGACCATTGTAGACTCTCCAGAGGCACTGGGGACCCCTCGGGAGAGGGTCTAGCATCCTCCCGCTGGGAGGAGATACTTTCTCACCCAAACCCTGCATTTCCCTCTCAGATAAGGTGGGGTTCTGGATAGGCCAGGAGGCCCTAATCAGGTGAGCCTCAACAAGTCTGTTAGACCCCAAAAAGACTTGGGGTGGGGCAGGAAGGGACAGACCCCTCAGAACTTGACTCTGGCAGCCTTCACAGAGGCTCATGTGGCAGGCCCCCCGATAAGCATTAGGTCTGTTCTTCCTTAAGGTAACCCTGTGAAAGGTGATATCATTGCCATATATGCCATAGAGGAGGAAACTGAGACCCCGGGAATTAACTCACCTGGGCCAGGTGAGGAAGTGGCAAGTGGCCATGAGCCCACATTTCCTTGGCCCGATAGTCTACTTTGGTGGCATTGGGGGGGAGGGGGAATGGGTTCGGGTCAGGTTGTTTAGCATTTCTAGTTTGTTGTTGTTTTTAGTTTTTTTTTTTTTTTTTTTTTTTTTTTTTTTTTTTTTTTTTTTTTTTTGAGACAGGATTTATCTGTGTAAGAGTCCTGGCTGTCCTGGAACTCTTTGTAGACCAGGCTGGCCTCAAGAACTCAAGGAGATCTGCCTGCCTCTGCCCTCCCTAGTGCTGGGATTAAACGTGTGTGCCCAGATGCCTTTCTACTTTGAAGGAAAAGAGGACATACCTTTCTCCTTGTCTCCCTCCACTTTTGGGGTTCACCAAGACCAGCAGGGGGTGAGTTCCTGGGCTAGGGATGATCTTATACTTAAAGACGAGAAGAAAAAGAAACGAGTATTATTCAGCAGTAGGATGATGCTGAGACAATTTCAGAGGGTGGATAGGGAGCAGGCCCAGGCAGGGAGGAGAGGAGCGGGGCTATTTGTCAGCTGGCTGAGCTTCCTGAGGGAGAAAAACCCATCTTCAGCTTGAGAGACTTTCAAGGGACTTAATGGCAGTGAGGTCAGGATCAGAGATGGGGCAACGGCACCAGCTCCAAATTATAAAATTGTGTGGCGTTACGCCCATGGCACAAGGTCAAAATTTGTGAGGGACACAGTGAGGGTACATCTGCCAAGTCACACACACCAATGAAACCAGGCCCAAGAGCACTCAGGTCAGGCTCTAGCACCTTCCAAATCCACACACCCTGACCCATCTTCCTCCCAAGCTCGAATTTCTCACTCTCCATGGGTGCCTCCCCATTGCTACCGCACCAACATGTGTGTCCCATAAAACCAGTCCTCCAGCCTGGTGTGCTGCTTCTGCTAAAGGTGTGGATACTCAGCTGGACATCCAGGGAGAGATGCCGGCCTTCCAAGTGCTTCCCTAGAATTTCCCTTGTAGCCATCAGGGTCCCCATGCTGCTGAGACTTTTCCTGCCCCCAGCTGTATGCTCTACAACCCCCACCCCAGCTCCTTTCTGGGATTCTACATCAAACATGCTGTCCCTGCTATAGCACCTGTAATGACACCCTGTTGCTCTCAGGATCAAATCCAAATCTTGAAGCCCAGCATCAAGGCCTTCACAACCTCGCCCCTTTCTTTTGCTCTCTCCTCATTCCTCCTGTTCCCCCAGCGGCAGGCCCAGCAGCCTGCTGCCAGTGAGTGTATCTAACTATGCATAGGCTCACATTCACTAACTCTTATTCCATAGTTTGAAATGTTCTCTTCTCTGTAACTTCTTAAAGAAATCCAGAATAACACAGGACGCAGTTCCAGAGCCATCACCGCTGTGACATTGCTCTCAAGCACTGAAACTAAAACTATTGCAATGTGAAATACGCAGTATCTGCGAGTGTTTGTATTTGTCCCTTTGCTTTTATTTTTGTCTTTCATTTTCTGGGTAAGATCTCAAGCCATCAGGTAGATCAGAAAAGACAAGGAACAGAGTAGAGCTTCCGTGGGCTCCACGGTGCCTGACACAGGAGTGGGCACTTGGTAACTTTTGTGGATCCAGCTGAATGATATTCCCACACAGAGATACAGCTTGGCTTCGTGTTCAATATTTAATGCCTGCATTTGTTAAACTTCACAGCCATCTATCACAGCCATCTATCACATGACATGTACTTTGCAAACATGACAGGTTTGCAAAGTACAATTATTGTTGTTTATGATTTCAAAGGATTCTCTTGTCTTCTAGGGTAATCATGTGATACTCAGAAACATCTTGGAGCTGGGGGAGTAAGCCCTTAAGTCTGGGGGAATGATATTCAAAGTCTGTGATAGCCCAGACTACAAGGGACCTGCCAGTCAAAACAGTCAAATGGATAAATGGATGCCAGTGTTGGACAACTTATGTCTTTTGCCCTTAGTGTGTGTGTGTGTGTGTGTGTGTGTGTGTGTGTATGTGTGTTCTCTTCTAGATGCCTAGAGCTTTCTTTTCTAGGTGTCTAGACCCCTCATTTTGTGGTGTCTAGACTCCTATTGGTATCTAGAGCCTGTGTGTGTGTGTGTGTGTGTGTGTGTGTGTGTGTGTGTCCAGAGCATTCTCATCTGTTGATGGTCCACATTATTCTATTTTGCACTGTCAATTTCAGTTCATTTTGTAATTTCAAAATACACTGTCTCCATGTTCTCAGTCTATAGCGTGGTGGGAGGCAGGCAGTTGCAGGGCATGCTAAACCCACTCTTAAAACAAGGAGACAAACTCAGAGGCACGGGATAAGACCCAATTTTTCTCTTTCCTATTCTGCCAATCTTCATACTTCATCGGGCTGCCTTTTCTGCATTCCTCAGAACTTCATGGAGAACATGAAAAAAATATTCACTGGTGATGCTTAGTGAAAAATGGGATCTTGAATACACACATAAGGGTCAAGAACCTTTGGATCCTATTCATTTTTTTTTTGGTAGACCGTGCTCTAGAGAGAGCTGGACAACCACAGAAAACTCCTTGTCCGATTTTACCCTGCACATTTGTTACTGTATAAGATCTTCATGTTGTAGCTTCATGTAAATTTCTCTTAAAGAGGTGACAAAGCCAATTAGATCATCAATGACATCAGCCAATCACCTTGCTCACCACTTGTGTACAGTGTGGCAGTCAACCCCAGAGGCCCGGGTAAATGTCCCCGTGTGACAGAATTGGTGGGATGAAAAAGCAAATGCTGAGATGAATTTCTTTAGAACCCAAGCCCCGCACCCTGCCCGAGCCTTTGGACCCCGTTAGAATGAGTGGTTGGACTGCTCACTCATGAGGTACCTGCGTTACAAGTTCACCCTTGGGAGCCACGCTGCCTTCGGACTTCCCTCCTTGCTTGTCCTGTGTGTGAGAGAGAACACAAGCAACCTTTGAAGAGGGAAAAAAGCCTACTACAAGGACAAGAGAAGATCAAGGCATTAAAAGAAATGGCTGTCAGCAACAAAAAGCTCAGAAGGGAGAAAACTGTGAGGTTTGCAAAGTGGGACTTTGGATCTCAGAAAAGAATACACCCCACAAGTTTCTCTAGGCTTCTGTGATGACTGTTACCTGTGATTATATCACCTGTGGTGACTGTCACCTTGGGACATGGTAAGGACATGGTAGGGATTGAAATAGCAGAAATGTAGCTGGCTGTGGGCTTTAAAAGCAGGCCTTACTCTCAGTTTCCCTGCTCAGCAGGACTTGACACTATGGTGTGGCTATGGCTCCTCTCTTTGCTGGTTCTACTTTCTTGTTTCAAAGTTCATTCTATTGAAGTCTGACTAGTTGACTGCATGGTGTGATACTGTGTGTGTGTGTGTGTGTGTGTGTGTGTGTGTGTGTGTGTGTGTGTGTGTGTGTGATATGCCTCTGGCTTTACCTGATCTTCAGACTTTTTATCAAGAGAATAATAAAGCATGCCTGCACCTAATTTTTTATTATTTTATTTATTTATTTGTATATCTATCTATTTATTTATTTTTATGGTTGAGTGCTCTGCATGCATGCATGCTTGCATGCTAGAAGAGGGTACCAGATCTCATTATAGATGGTTGCAAGCTACCATGTGGTTGCTGGGAATTGAACTCAGGACTTCTGGAAGAACA